TGCTCAATTTTTAAATTCGTGATTGTAAAACATGGGTACACTGTTTTGATGTAAGGAAAAAGTTATGAAGTTCACCTTACTGATTCGCAATGGTCTAATATTATAATTCCAAAAACACTATACATAAACGGACACACATATGCAGGTACTTACAATTTAAAACCAAATCACCATCAACTGTTATTTTAACGACCAATAAATAATAACAGTATAGATTTGTTAATGGAAGTCTAGATATTACAAAATTGTGATAAATGAAAATGGTGGGGTACATATCTCTCTGTATTGTTTTTCGACCTTTAACTGCTAATGTGCCTCTCTGGACATACGCTAGCAACTTTTATCATCATTGCAAACATTAATGAGTTTAGGTTCGTACAACATTTACTCGCGACCAGAAAGAATAACATCGCATGTCGTAAGAGGCACTTTATCAACGGACGAGGTTTAGATAGAACTTAGGCGTGTCGTTTCTCGATAACTCGAGTTAACAGTCTGGGGGTTGCTATATCCATGGTACACTTTACTTATCGAGTGGTTGAGGAGATGGTATTCTTTGATCATCTTAAGTAACAGTGCTATCAACACATTCCCCCTCACGGTTGCCATTTTCTCCTCTAAATTCGATTGAAAGTTCAAAAATTGCCGGTACCGGTGTGGGTGTGATGAGCTTGGGCTAAGAAATATGGATGAGGATGCCAGGAAAAATGAATAAACACCCTATATACATTTTATTAAATACACCAACTTTACATACAATTGCCTTAATTCATTTTTCTCATTAATTTTGGTCAGTAGAATCCAAAACAATTCGTACTTTTTCGATCAGACCTCTCAATCAAAAGTTATAGACTAGAAACCAATTTCGAAAGAAAATTCAAAGGGCTGTAACTTTTGAACTAGTGGCCCAATCTTGGAACTGTTTGAAATTATGGATTCTACAGGCCACATTCTTTAAGAAATTTTTTTTTCGGGTCGATCTGAGACAATTTTTTTTCGGGGCTCAAAAAAAGGCAGTGTATAACCTTCCTTTTTTACCAAAAATCGACTGCACCAAAATTTCTCGGGAAAAAACTTTTTCTTATTAATTTTGGTGCGTAGAATCCAAAACAATTCGTACTTTTTCGATCAGACTTCTCAATCAAAAGTTATAGACTGGAAACCAATTTCGAAAGAAAATTCAAAGGGCTGTAACTTTTGAACTAGTAGCCTAATCTTGGAACTGTTTGAAATTATGGATTCTACAGGCCACATTCTATAAGAAAATTTTTTTCCGGGTCGATCTGAGACAATTTTTTTTCGAGCCTCAAAAAAAGGCAGTGTATAACCTTCCTTTTTTACCAAAAATCGACTACACCAAAATTTCTCGGGAAAACACTTTTTCTTATTAATTTTGGAGCGTAGAATCCAAAACAATTCGTACTTTTTCGATCAGACTTCTCAATAAAAAGTTATAGACTAGAAACCAATTTCGAAAAAAAAATTCAAAGGGCTGTAACTTTTGAACTAGTAGCCCAATCTTGGAACTGTTTGAAATTATGGATTCTACAGGCCACATTCTATAAGAAAATGTTTTTTCCCGGTCGATCTGAGACATTTTTTTTTTCGGGGCAAAAAAAAGGCAGTGTATAACCTTCCTTTTTTACCAAAAATCGACTGCACCAAAATTTCTCGGGAAAACACTTTTTCTTATTAATTGTGGTGCGTAGAATCCAAAACAATTCGTACTTTTTCGATCAGACTTCTCAATCAAAAGTTATAGACTAGAAACCAATTTCGAAAGAAAATTCAATGGGCTGTAACTTTTGAACTAGTAGCCCAATCTTGGAACTGTTTGAAATTATGGATTCTACAGGCCACATTCTATAAGAAAATTTTTTTTCCGAGTCGATCTGAGACAATTTTTTTTTCGGGGCTCAAAAAAAGGCAGTGTATAACCTTCCTTTTTTACCAAAAATCGACTGCACCAAAATTTCTCGGGAAAACACTTTTTCGTATTAATTTTGGTGCGTAGAATTCAAAACAATTCGTACTTTTTCGATCAGACTTCTCAATCAAAAGTTATAGACTAGAAACCAATTTCGAAAAAAAATTCAAAGGGCTGTAACTTTTGAACTAGTAGCCCAATCTTGGAACTCTTTGAAATTATGGATTCTACGGGCCAAATTCTATAGGAAAATGTTTTTTGCCGGTCGATCTCAGACAATTTTTTTTCCGGCCTCAAAAAAAGGCAGTACTTTTAAGTTATTCAAATATTTTAGAACAATTTAGAAATGTTTAGGGAAAGTTTCCATTGTCACAAAATCAAATATAAAAATCCGATACAAAATATCATGCACACAGACAAACGGATGGTCCAAAATGGATCTGTACCAAAATCGCTAGGATTAATTTCAGAAAGGCGTACATGTAATTTGCACGACGTACTATCGCTTTGAAAACTGGTACACGTATTCTTAAGGATATAACTGGTATAAGAAAGGTCCTGGTAGGTACCTCCTATATATTAATATAATAATAATAATAATACGCTTTTACTCCCCTTAAATTTGTATATAACACTAGAAATATAAAAAAAGGTAACCCTATACAAAGTATAACTTGATTTTTTAAGTAGTATTAAGCCTTTTATCTTGTATACTATTTTAAATTTTTAATGTATTTGAGTGATAAGTATTTGAATACTTTTTATAGTATTCGAATACCTTTGATAGTATTAGAATACTTTTGACAGTACTCGAATAGTTTTGAAAGTATTCGAATACATTCTAAAGTATTTGAGTACTTATTTTTTTAAGTATTTGAATACTTTTCAATGTATCTGTATCTAGTATTCGCTTGTGCTGATGGACGTAAAAGTATTTAGTATTCAAATACCTTTGATTTGTGTAAAGTATTTACTATTTAGTATTCAATTACTTTTTGAAAGTATTTTGCCCAGCTTTGTTCGACCCTTTCGTTGCTGGGGTATTTGCCATACCCCCAGATCCCCTGGTTCAACGTCTCTTGAAGGTCCAGGACAAGAGAGATAGTAAATAAATAAATACATAAATAAATAAATAAACAAACAAACAAACAAATAAAAAAATAAATAAATACTTCGGGGGGTCTGAGGGGTTTGCGATACCTCCCCCCCCCTCATAATCTCGTAATCCTTCCCCGGCAACTGTCATGGCAGTTCTGAATCCTAAACACCCCCCAATATACACGACACCTCCATTGCTATTTCCAGAACACCACCATAAGTGGGTACTGATGTGCATATAGTAATCATCGGATCTTTTTTGCTGGGGAGTATTCCATACCCTCCCTCCCAGTCTTCCTGTTCTACGTTCTCTGTGGTAAGGAGACGGAGCCACAAAAAAGTAGAGGACCTAAAGCCCTTCTCGAACGACTGGTTTGTGAATGATGGCGCTACCGGTGGGTTTGGGGGATAGGATACACGACAGTTCCAGCACTCATGACTTTTTCCAGAATACCATCATAATCATAAGAGTACTTAGTGTTATAGGATATCAAGTGCCACTTTTTGGGTACTTTTGAAACCCTTGGCCCCTGCCGTTCTAACATAAGTTAGAAGAGTTAGAAAATGGTCATTGACTCCTTTTCTTTCCCGATAGCAAGAGAAAATTTAAATGAATACTCCGTGTATTAAATGCAGGAGCAACTCCTCGCCCTGGTTAAACGTCTTTAACCGGCAGTAAGGTGTTTTTCTAAGTACACAGAAAGTTATCCTCGTGTAGTACGTACTTGTAATAACCAGAAGAAATTAGAAAACGTGTCAAGCAGAGTCTCTGTGTCTACAAATCTTTCTGAACGTTATGTCCTCCTGATGGAAAAAGTTGTGAAGTGTCTTGGACACAGCAAAGAACCTTCCCCTTTATTATGTCCTCACGTTCCCAGAAAAAATGTACAGTACATTTTTGAAACAGATACTTCGTGAGGCAAGAACATTTTTTGCACGTCATGTTCTCCTGATACGAAGGTTAATGTTTAACCGAACATTTTTCCTTTGGGCTTAGGAATAATAAGCGTGAATAAGGTGTTTGAGCATAAGAAAACACATCCTCATCAGTTATTTTCTCCTGGTAGCAAGAGGAAGTAGGTTCAGGCGAAGATATAGTGTTTATCTTTCTTTTAATGGTAAAAAGGATGTTTCCGTCTGCTAAATTTACATACCCGCAAAAAAGGCGAACAAAAACTAAATTGGAGGTAAGTATATGTCGTTAATGATCGTTAACCAGACTAAATTAAATTATTCTCTTGCGTATAGAAAAAGACCTCGCCGATGTGCTCTTTTCTGGATGCATAGATGCTGGGCGAACTGAAAATTAAGACCTCATCTGGCTGAAACGGAGAAAACTTACCCTGTGGGCTGTGGACCCATTTCGATGGACAAAGTAAAACCGCGGATGGCACGGTTTGATGTAAACGACCTATGGCGAGGAATGTCATCGCCTAGCCGTACAGATTTTCCTGTGGTCGTTCTATTCATTAAAATTATAATCTGCACGCACATTTTAAGCAATAAATCTGTTACAGTATTTAGGAAAGATTTATGGTTACTATCCTTCCTCACGCGTAATTTTTTCCAATCGCCTTCGAGCCTTTTGGCAACGAACGGCAGTCTACGTAAGAGTGTGACTAACAACTGTTGGCGTTTTTCAGTAAACTACCTTGGAAGCGTTCCAAGCAGGAAAGGCATTCATAATATCTCGCAAAACAGACAATAACCGAGTAATTTTAATTATTTACAACTTAATAAACCCCCCAATTTTCACCGTCATGCGCCAAATTTCTCTAATATTGTTCGAGAGAATTTAAACACTGTTAGCAATTCCTGCAATTGCCCACTTTCCTCTTTAGCCCTCCAAAATTATCTAGAAATAGTCCGTATACGCGGAAACGGGAATTGCAGAAATTTCTCGGCGAAAACTCGGGAAAAAAATTTCCACCATTACGCGAGTTTAAATTCGGCAATAAATCATAAGCGTCGCGTAATGCCAAAAGTAACGCAATGTTTTGTTCTAGGTCAAGCGGAAACAAAAACGCACACCCGTCATCCGCACTCCGGAAATACACATCATCGTTCAATCCGAGCTGACAGTCGTACGAACTTTAGCTATGAAAACAGCCCCAGTGTTCACGACCAGGGGTTTATTCAGATATACGCCGAACAGCACGTGAAGTTAACGCTCGAATGCGCCGTCAATATTAATTTCAGCACGAGCATTTGGCTGAAAGACGGCCAGATTGTACAGACGATACTTAAGGACAATATTAATAATAAACGTGTTAGTGGACATAGGTTTCTGGTGGATAGCAGTGGGAATCTGTTGATTGATAATGTACGGCTTGAGGACGACGGACGTTGGCAGTGCGAAGCGGAGGATGCTCTTGGATTTGTCGTTACCGGCAAACAAATTCAACTCACAGTTTTGGGTAAGTTTATACTGTAGAGAAACACGTTTTCCTAACCTTTGCAAACTTTGAAAGACGTAACCGAATTGACGATTCGAATCCCTACGTCACCGTGGAATGAACTTCAATGGTGTTGGCGGGATTATCCCGGATGATCCTTTTGTTACTTTTACTATACATACTTTTCGCGTCTCTCGCAGAAATCCACGCGTAAAAATCCGCTGCTTCGATTAATTAAACAAAGTTGTTGGTTCCCATTACGCGACGTAAGGTTTTACATTTCGCCCACTTAAGATATTTATGAGGAGGGATAAATTGGCAACGGCGAAAGAAGCGGGATGAGCTGGACATCTTCCAAGCGGTAGTGTCGAGCTTGCAGATTTTGTACAAGCGACGAACCGAATCGTAAACGACATATATTAATAAATCAGTAATAAAAGGGAAATATATTGGTGGGTTAATTTGGAAAATGGATGTAATCAACAGATAGTATCCCAGTACTTGATTCTCAAAAATAATCTTGTTAATGCTATGCTTATAAATTAGTTCAATAAGAAATGAAAGTGGTTGTAAGGCGCCCGTACAAGTTGATTACATCAGAGTATTTGTATAATCGTACAAGTTAGTTACATCAGAGTATGGTTTTAGGGGGACAATTTCATAGCGATCCATTGCGTATTGAAAATAGTAGGTACCCTGTGTAATTTTATTTTATAATTTCGCACCACGTCCATTTTGTTTACCGCGATTCCGATCGCAATATTTAAAAATTCTCATTAAGCGCACATCAAATCAGCACATGTATCAATCGGACGCATCCATGCAAATCGCGAACCGCATTTTGATTACGCCATTATCGGGATTCGCCCGCGCATTTGTAAACGTCAAACTGAAAGTGCGCGCGGAACGGCTTTCAGAAAAAGTAGTTATTCCTGTCCGTTTAAAGTTGTGAATCTGTTAATGATGGTTTTTGCGTAAACTGATTTGCATACAATCGACTTAAAGTACACGAGCCGCTGCGCACTAATTACGAAAGCGAGGAGTACTCGCGCGGTCGTGTTAAATTTAAATTAGCGCCCTGGCAGTCTTGAGGTTACCGATAAGCCTATTCACGAAATCCTTTCTTCGAGATTTCGTTAGCTTTTCAATTTAATGGGAGCAAAAGTTTAAAGCTGCTGGTATAAAATTCGATAGAGATGGCTATTTGAAGGTATGGTGAGACCTTCAACCATTAAATAACCTTCAAAAGCGAGTTTGCAAGTATTTACGAGCCCTTACAAGTAGCTAATTTATATGTCAAAAATCGCCAATGCTACGAACTTTTTGAAGGGCTAAGCCAGATTTTATTTTACATTTCAAAGGACTAAAATTTGAGCCTTTGGAATCTCTTATAGGTGTTATAAGTGTTTCATGGGATCTCTAAAGACTAAAGGGTTTCCAACCACCTCTAATGCTTGTCTAAAGGGCGTTTATTTACCTTAAAAGCCCTTTTCCCCTCTAGCTTCATTTTTTTAATTCTACGTTTTAGTGTGTTTAGGGGTATGAGAACCCCTATGAGCTTGTATGAATTTCTGAATGACTTAAACGCCAATCTGGTTTCATGGGTACGCTACAAAGCTTTCAAAAATTATCGAGGGGAGTCTGTTCAGCTTTATCGAGACTTTATAGAATCCTTATTGGCCATCAGTTGTATCTAAAAATGTCTATTCTTTACCACACAAGAGCTTCCTACCCCCTCGTGTGTGGTACCAAAATGAGCGTCCTTATGTGCCCAGTACGCCTAGCTCGCGCCTCTGCAGCCCTATCTGCTGCTTACGTCCCCACCTCCAACACCCGTCTCAGCCCGATGAGATTTGCGAATGGTATTTTATTTATTTATTTTATTATTCTTCGAATATTCCAAAAAATTCATTTAATTACAATTTTAACAATAATATCTGCAAACACCTCTAATAATTTTTAAAAATCTCGTTTCAAGTCTTTGTTGAAAAATTCCTTGTGAATTTCAATAAAATTTAATTTAATTAAAAAATCCTAGAGAATTTTTATAAACAAGGTCCTTCAAAAAAACTTGGAAAAAATCACTTAATGAAACCACCAGAATTTTAGTAGAAAGTTTTTTCCAAGTATAATATTTCTTGAAAACCAATTTAGGAATCTTCGTGAAATCGGTCGATGATTTTTAGTTTCTTCGGAAACATTCGACTAGTGAAAAACCTTTTGTAGAAGCCTCTTTCCAAGTATTTTTGGAAAACCTGTGTAGACCTCTTCAAGAAATCTGTATTATGCAATTTCTTAAAATATCTTATGAGAAACCTGGAATTTTTATAGAAACTTCTTTCCAACGTTTTCTTAAAAACCTGCTAAAAACTCACCTAGAGGAAAATTCTTGAATATTAATAGAAATTTATTAAATTAAAAAATCCTAGAGAATTTTTGTCAAAACTTTTTTCAACGGTCGTTTTTGAAAACCTTCGCTTAACGATACCTCCTCGAGAATTTTAGTAGCAACATTTTTCCAAGTTTTTCGTGAAAGGCTGTAGCAGTTTTGAGGAAATTTGTGGATGGTTCTTAGTTTTTAAGGAATTTTCTTCGAATATTAAAGAAAAATCATTTCATTAAACAATCCTCGACAATATTTGGTAAAATATCGTCCAGGTCTTAAAAATAAAACCTCTTGATGAAAAATCCTTGACAATTTTAATAGAAACCTCTTTCAAAGTCTTCCTTGAAAATCAGGGATCTTCAAGAAATCGGTTAATAATTTTTAGTTATTAAGGATGTTTCTTCAGAATATTGCACAGAAAAATCCATTTAGTAAAAAATCTTTTGTGGAAGCCTCTTTCCAAGTAAAAAACCTGTTTAAACCTCTTCAAGTTATTTAAAAAATCTGGAATTTTGTAAAAACCCATTTCCAAGATTTTCTAGAAAACCTGTTTAGAAATCTTCAAAAAATTTTTGGACAGGTCTTAGTTTTTAACGAATTTTCTTCAAATATTCTTTAATTACACAATCCTTAACAATAGTATTTGTAAAAAATTGTTCTTTCTTGAGAACCTGCTAAAAATCACTTAATGAAAAATCCTTGAGAAGTTTAATAGATTTAAATTTAATAATAAAAACGTAGAGAATTTTGTAAACAGTTCTTTGCAAGGACTTTTTTGAAAACCTGTTCAGAAATATTCAAGAAATCGAATAATTATTTTTATGTCTTAAGGACTTTTATCTATCTTTCGGAGGAAAAATCATTAAACAAAAAATCTTTAAGAATCCTTACAAGTATTCTTTAATTTTTGGATTTTGCTTAGGAACCTTCCGGAAATTTGTGGGTTGTTCTTAGTTTTTAAGGAATTTTCTTCGAATATTTAAACAAATTCATTTAACAAAAAAGTCCTTGAGAGTCTTTTGAATGTTTGTAAAAACCTCTTTCCACTTGTTGCTTGAAAATTTGTTGAAATATCAATTTTACCCTCCCAAAATTTTAGTAGGAACTTCACTTTAAGCCTTAATTGAAGATCTGTTTAGGAAATTTCAAGAAATCTGTTCGTGATTCTTAGTTTTTAAAAAATTTTATTGGAAATATTCCAAATCTAAATCAGTAATGACAAAGCGTCAAGAATTTTTGCAAAAATCTTTTTTCGGCTTTTTTGAAAACCTGTTAAATGGCCATTTAATGAAAAATCTTCGAGAATGTTTAGTAGATACCTCTTTTCAAGTCTTTCTTGAAAACCTGCTTAGGAATCTTCAGGAACGTACTTGATGGTTACTAGTTTTTTTTTTTGAATATTTTAAAAGAATCATTTAATTAAAGTCAGAGAATTTTTTTAAAACCTTTTTCCAAGATCTTGAAAATCAGTTAATGAAAAATACTTGGGAAGTTTCATAGAATTTAATTTAATTAAAAAATCCTAAAGAATTTTTGCAAAAACAGCTTTCAAGGGTTTTTCTTGAAAACCTGTTGAAAAATCACTTGAAAAATCCTCGAGAAATTTAGTAAAAACCTTTTCCCAAGTATTTCTTGAAAGTCTATTTAGGAATTTTGAGGAAATGTGTAAATGGTTGATAATCCCAAGGAATTTTCTTTGAATATTCTTAAAAACCCATTTAATTTACAAATCATCGAGAATATTTCTAAAAACGTCTTTCCAAGTCTTTCCTAAAGACCACTTTATAAATCTTCAAGAAATCGGTGGATAATTTTTGGTTCTTAAGAACTTTTCATATTGCACAGAAAAAATCACGTAATGAAAAATCGTTAAGAATTTTGGAGTAGTCTCTTTCCAAGCAATTTTGGAAAACCTGTTGAGGTATGTACAAGAAGTATGTCGATATGTAGTGCTTAATAAATTTTTTAACATTCAAAAATATCATTTTATGAAAAATCCAGCAATGATTGTAGGATTTAAAAAAAAAAAATGTGTTGGAATCTTCAATAAATGTGTGAATGGGTCTTTGTGTTTATCTTTCTTTAAAACCGGTTTAAGAATTTTTAAGAAACCTATAGATAATAACCTATAGAATCCTCGAGGATGATAGTGAAAACCGATTTCCATGCGTTTCTTGAAAAACTGTTAAAAAATCATTTAATTAAAATCGGCGAGAATTTTAGTAGAAGCTTCTTTTTAAGTTTTTCTTGAAAACGTGTTAAGAAACCTCCAGAACTTCAATGAAAGCTCTTTCATGAAAACCAATTCAGGAATCTTCGAGAAATCTGTTGATAGCTAGTTTTAAATACTTTCTACAAACTATTCAATTTAGTTATCTTCAATAAATTACTGAAAATTTAATTTAAAACGCATTTCACAAATAATTTCAATAACAATATTTAAAGTAAATAAAAAATTTCTTCTAGCCTGAAAGAATTGTTGAAAGTTCCCATAATGCAACTTGCATTCCCTCTTTGAATTGCAATACTAATTTTCTGTTTTAAGAATAACGTTGAATAAATAAATAAATCTTTTGAAGACTTTTAGTTCTTAAAAACTCTTCTTCGGCATATGGTAAAGAAAAAAATCAACTAACGAAATACTTAATAATTTTTTTAGAAATATCTTTCCAAGTATTTTTGGAAAAGTGGTTTAGGAATTTTCAAGAAAGTTCAGGATGGTTCTTAGTTTTTAAGGAATTTTCTTAGAATATTCCAAAAAATCAGAGGCGCATCAAACTGACATAATTATCTGTCGCAGTTCAAATCGGTGGATCAACCGGAACCGGATCGCCAGCTTGTTTGATTTTAGAGCTGCCTGACCATGATCATTTCCAGAACATATTGGTGTTGTGCGCATACAAGCTGCAATCTTGTGTGAAAATTACTTTATTTAATTCCATTTCGTTAATTTCGTGTTTCTTGCACTGGCTACGAGGTACAAAAACAGTAAAAGGCTAAGGTGAAAAACTATCAGTATCAAACCAGAAACCGTGCAAAGTTTTACCATACAAATTGTGGATTCAAAACCGAGAACACGTATCTTCCTGGCGAAAATAAACAATTTTACCTCTTTCCCCATTATCATCATAAATCAATTTTTTTTCAGTTTTCTTTATACTTACAGAGAATTACATACACTTGACAGTTAACCTGCTATTTCGTGGGTACACATACCGAAACATCTACGCTCATATTTCGTGCGACCAGCATAAATTATCTACAGCTGTCTGAAAATTACAGAGCAGGAACCCCCTTCGATATGGAACAAAACAGTACAATTTAGAGTGTAGGTTTTCAGGGGACGATACTACGTTCTCCAGTATAACTTTGTTCATCCCCCGGGAACGTTATAATGCGTGTGTGTATTATAGTGATGTTTCTAGGTGCAGCCTTAGCGAATGGGGTCGCAATCGGGTCCTGCATTTCGCGTTTATCCCAACACGTCTTTGGTGGCCTTGAAACAATTTACGTTATCCCTGACCGCTCTGGAAATGACCGTGTGACCAGTGCAGTGAGGAATCCGTTAATTGTGATCAATCCACTTGAGCCCGTGCATAACGTCCAGATCGGCACGAACTGGGCCATTCAAGCGGATAACGAGCACTCCTTGTCGAAAACCTTGTGCTGGCTTAATTCGAGCGCGATTTGGAATCGAAGCATTTCAGCGAGGGGGAAGTATATCTTCGTGCTACCACCGGCAAATCTAACGTCACTTTTTTTGGAGCTGTGGAGCTACGACATTGTGCGTGCAATTGTGGCCATATACACAGATACATCCGTAGATTTTTACACGTCCAATCCCACTGATAACCACTGCGAGAATAGGGTGAGTGTAATCGAGTCTGAAAGTTGTGAGGCGACCAGTGTGACCATACTTTTGGAAAGGCAACCACCCAACGTGCGTAGATGTCGTCTGTATTTGGCGGTTCTTCAGGAAAAGAGTTTTAAAGATGCTCTATTCCATTGCAGAGCTATGTTTTGTCACACTTACATCGTTGTAATTAAAGCTCTTGTCGAATACTTGGGCCTACGCTTTAGAGCGGTTTACGAAAATTTCTCTGATATCGTAAATCAAGCTGAATTGGTCACAACTATTGTCGAAAGGGACCTTTCACAGTACGCCGATCAGAGTTTACCGGTGCACACGTGCAGGAACCTCTTTGTGCCTCCTAGGGCGGAAGTTCTACCTATCGCGCAAAGGCTGAAGTATATTTTCAATTGGGAAGCTTGGATCCTATTCGTTGTTTCGTTGTTGTCTGCAATTACAGCTTGGTGGGTTTGTCTTGTAGATTACGATGGAAGATATGCTGCGTCAAACTTTATTGAAGCCTTCAGTAGTATGATGTCGCTCCTTTTCGGCTTAGGCATTACTAGAATACCAAAGAAAAAAGTAGTAAAATGCTTTTTAATGATCTACATTTTTTATTGCATCCATATGCAAACTGCCCTTACCGCAAATATTTTTACCTTACTATCAGTTCCTAGATCAGAAGAGACAATCAAAACTCCAGAGGATTTGGTAAACTCAAAAATGCCGATTTGTGCAGTTGAAGGTTACCGTCCTGTACTTGTGGCCGAACCATCTGGGAACACTAGGTATTCAAAAATTAAGCGCAAAATAATTTTTTTCCCGCTCAGGAAACCATACCCAACAGAACGCGCCCTGGTGGGAGGTGAGTGCGTCGCATTGACTCCGGAATTAGATCTCTACATCTTACAGTATCAAATGCGATCATACGTTTACAGTATCTATGACCCGATGCTCATAAGGGATGAAGAGCATGTCATCCAAATGAGACAGGGGCATTACTTCACACGTACAATTGACGAAGTCATCGTACGTTTGATGGAGTCCGGGATATACCAAATCAACGAAAAGAACACCCTTATGGGATACCAAGCGTATGCTAAATCAGTGATGGTAGATTTGAGTGACATTGAACAATTGGGATTGGATGAGCTGTACGTTTTCTTCGTCATTTTTGGCATCGGCTGCAGCGCTTCTATCCTAGCATTTTGGTTGGAATTGCTAGTATACAAACTACAAACTACAAAACAGTAGCTGTGGTCACTCACCAATTTTGACTTTCTGTTTCTGCGTCACTTGTGCGAGTCCCTTGGTTCTGCACTGGAAACTACCCAGAGTACCTATCCAGCGCAATTAATTCTCTTACGTGAGTATTTATTGCACTTTGAATTTTTTTAATTTTCCCTATTTTTTTAAATTTCCTATTAGAATTTCTAATGTAGATCTCTTTGCCTTTTCAGAGACGACAGCATTTAAAGTGGCAACTTCAAATTCATTGCACTCCGAAGATCGGTTATGGCCTTGATAAGTTGGACTGGTCCGCCTTGTAGAATGTAAATATTCTCTGCGGTACTGGTAAAGATTTTACTGTAACAATTAGTTTTTTGCAATGAAATAGTTAATACCACGGCTAGCTCAGTAATGAATAAATTTTCAAAGACTATTACCTTGCAGAAAGTTGGTTCTTTATCCCCACTTACAATCTGGAAATTAAAACCTTATTATCTGGTTTGATCACTCATATAAATTGACTTGTTGGAAATTCCATCTCAAGTTTCCTTTAAATTTTTTTGTTATTTAAAGTATTGATGTATTTCATGTAATTATAATACAAAATAAAGTTTAAATTCCTATATCGTGATTTTAATGAATGATAATAAGATTTTTTTGATATCTGTAATTAATCAAACACCTGGTCTAATCAAAATTAATTTACGCGCCTCTGGTTGCTAAATAAAATTTAACCCACACAAATGAATGGTATTACTGAAATGCAAATAAAACTTTACAATTAATGAGAAAAAAACTAGCAAAATCTTTGGTTTGGATCTACCGAACATTCATAAAAAATACACAATCAGGATAAATTCCTGCAGGTCGAACTCTTCAGGAATGTCTCTAAACATAAATCTTTTATACAACATCCGAAAAAATCGACACCTATGGTTGCACACACAATGCAAGAAATTCAAAATAACTTACATTTTATCAATGACCCCAAGGCGATTTGGAAAATTAAAAATCGAACGAGGTAAAAATTTGGTTACTCGTTGAAAGATGGTTGACGAATTTGAATCCGGAACAAACCGTGCTTCCGGTTTCTCGCAATTTATTTGTCGAACTTTGATTTATTTACTGGAATAATAAAATTATTACCATGATCGTTCCGCAGTGTGAAAGCTTCCAAAATTACCCAAATTTCTTAGGGCCAACAAATGCACGAATTAATTGTCTTTAGCCTTTTGCCGGTTGCCGTTTACTATCGATCTAATAAGGCTCCGTGTGCACAGTGTTGATTGATAAACTTGTTTTTTTAATCCGCTTACTGGTCTAAATATATCCGCATTTTGCAGATTAAAGCCCAATCTCTACGTGGTAACCGTGGTAACCGTTTCAATTGAACATAAATGCGCCGTCCACTAGTTTTCACTACACGACAAAGTTCGCTCGATGATATGTAAATAGACTCACTTTTGTGTTGTACAGGGTGAGTTAACGATTGTGCGGAGTAACTTAATGCCTTGAAGATAAGATTTTTCGATAGAGTGCTTTTGTATTATTATATGGTTGAATATTCTCTACATTTTAAAATATTTGGAATTATACACGGTGCGCTCACAAAGTAGGGTGCCAAAATTGTGCATCTTTTAAATGGAACCCCCTGTATTTGAATGCATTTTTAATTCTACGTGTAACTGTACGACTTTTTTATTATATGGTTAATGTCCGAAAAATTAGTAGTTTTAAAGATAATTTGATTTCTAAGAAAAAGTGGGCATTTGCAAGCGTCAATATATTATAAAAATTATTACTTAAATATTGATTACAGGTTCTACATCTTTTATCCTGGGTAAAGTAAAAGTCAAATAAATACATCTACTATGAAACATTAAAAAAAATAGCTTACAAGGTGTTTTTTTGGTAGGTCTAAAGTTGCAAGACTTCATATTAAAAAATCTCACGTTTTTTAAATGGAACACCCTGTATATTTTTCTGTCATCTTTTAGCTCTTCCAAAAATCTTCAACTTTTGATAAAAATGTCCTATACCTATCTCTGATAGTTTTCGAAACATATTGGTTTTCTTGGTTTTTATATTCTAGTCTTAAAAACGAGTAAGTTATATGTAATTTACATAATAGCGCTGTGGCCATGCAAAAAAAGGCAATTATTATCTATCTCGTGCAAAACGAAAATTATATTCAAACAATTCATTTTAAGTCCAAAAACTGGAGAATAAGTAAAAACATTTGACTACCAAGCAAATTTAATTTAACTCCTAATATCATCCAGTCAGTGATATTAGCTTCATTTTTTTTCATATTCACCTCGTTATTATGTATATTAGAACTTATTTCAGATTAAAATATAAAAACTAGGCAAAACAAAGATATTTGTTTATGTCTTTACTATCAAATTTATTCTCCCGTTTTTAGACTTAACCCTAGTTTACTGGCCACTAAAACTTTACGGGCGTGGGGTGGAACGAACCCCACTCTAATTGTCGCCACCTGCGCGCCGTGCTTCCATGCATAATCTCCCATAATAAAATTTATGGACATTGAAAGTGGCTGTGGGGTGCGATTCACCCCAGACCTGTAAATTAGGGTTAATAAGAAAAAGTGTTTTCCCAAGAAATTTTGGTGAAGTCGATTTTTGGTAAAAAAGGAAGGTAATACACTGGCTTTTTTTGAGCCCCGAGAAAAAATTGTCTCAGATCGACCCGGAAAAAAATTTTCTTATAGAATGTGGCCTGCAGAATCCATAATTTCAGCAGTTCCAAGATTGGGTTACTAGTTAAAAAATTACATTCATTTGTATGCTCTCGTTAGAGGAACCTACCATAGAACAAACGATGAAATTGCTCCACAAGTAAGAGAGCTGTCTACTGCGCATGCGTGTATAATCTCGTTTCGTTTTATGCCATGGATTCCATACGACGGCTCTGTCTCGATTTTACACAAATTACTTAATCATTTGATATTTATACTGTATAAAAATGTGTAACTAAATTAATGTAATATTATTATGGTGTTAAAATTGTTTTATTTGTAACGAACTATAGAACGCATACAACTTGTTAGTTTCGGCTTAATGTGTTGGTAAAATAGTACTGTAGAAATTTTAACGATTCCGATAAGCCATACGTCTAACTCCGTCAGGATCGCCGCCTCGCCTCCCTAACATTTATAACGGTTCATAGCAGCTCGGCTTCGCCTCGCGCTGTTCACTGTTCAACAAAGACAATTTCTCAGTTTCAGGTTCGGTGCGGTAAGAAAATGATATTGAGCAGACTGAATTGATAATTTTTTTGAATTTGTGAGGAATACTTTTGTTTTTTGGAAACATCACCTACAAAGTGACTTTCTCTGAAAATTTCGATTCAACTTGTTGAATTCAGATCTGCACATAATTGCACATAAGATTTTTTAATTTTGATAACACCTTTTGGTTTTGATGAGATGTATGCTCGACTACGGCCGCTGCGCCGCCTCGCATCGCTCTGATTTGTAACGGTCCATAGCTCGGCTTCGCCTCGCACTGTTCACTGTTCAACATAGAAAATTTCTCAGTTTCAGAAAATGATATTGAGCAGATTGATTTTTTTTGAATTTCTAAGGAATATTATTGTTTTTTGGAAACATCACCTATACAAACTGATTTTTTTTTAATTTCTATTCAACTTGTTGAATTCAGTTCTGCACATAAGATTTTTTAATTTTGATAACACTTTTTGGTTTTGATGAGGCATACGCTCGGCTCCGGCGGCCTCGCCTCACTGTAATTTGTAACGGTCCATACCTCGACTTCGCCTCGCACCGTTCACTATTCAACAAAGACAATTCTCAGTTTCAGTTTTGGTGAGGAAAGTAAATGATATTGAACAAATTGATTTTTTTTTAATTTCTGAGGAATATTTTTGTTTTTTGGACACACCACCTATACAAACTTACTTTTTTTTGAAAATTTCGATTCAACTTGTTGAATTCAGATCCGCACATAATTGCACATAGGATTTTATAATTTTGGAAACAGTTCTTGGTTTTGACGAGACATACGCTCGACTCCCCTCGCCTCGCCCTGATTTGTAACGGTCCATAGCTCCCTCGCACTGTTCACGTTACATCGACATGGACATCAAATTTCTGAATTTTTGAATTAAATAATGATCAAACAATAAACGTGAATTACGGGGGCTAACTTCACGCCCAAAACTTACAAAATTTATTCTGAAGATGCTATCAACCAACAAACGGTAAAGAATATCAAAAAACACCAACAAACGATCAACAAACGATTACAACTAACAAAAAACAAAATATTGCAACTTTGAATTTTTGAATAATTAAATAACAAACGACCAACAAACGATTACAATAAACATTTATTGTAAAAATTCAAAAAGTGGGGGCGGGGCTAACCAGACGCCCAAATTTTTGAATTTTGAATAATTAAATACCGATCAACGAACAAACGTGAAAATGTAACACCAAAAAACGACCACGACGCTGTTGATCTCATTTCTCATTGAAATACGGAAGTAGCGTCGCGTCGCAGATGAGCGGGTTTTGCTTTTCTCACACAAATTCACTTAGCGATTCACAAGAGCCCAATTAGGTGGGGAGAGCAACATGGATCACTTTGCTGAGCTCCGAGTAAGGTATTGTCTCCTTTCTGAAGAGGACGGAAGAATGGGTTGGGGAAGGAAGCTTTCGAAGGGGGGGTTATCCATTTTCTTTCTTCCTCGTTCTATTAAGCTATTGAGCTTCTGGCTTCATTAA